AGATTTATTATAAAAATATTTTAATTTTTAAACCACTTATGTAATTCTGATTTGATTTGGTTTACATATTAATGGGTTTCAAAACGTCTAGTATGAACAGGTTAATGGGTAACCATTAATTTGATCCATATTTTAAACGTTTCGAAACCTATTTTGTAAACTAAATCAAACCAAAAAATATAGAAGACACCAACAACAAATACTCATTAAATGAATATGTTTAAAGCACTCAGCTTATTTGAATAATATGGGACTGGTCGGATCAACCAGTCAATTTCAATACATTTTGACAACCCTAGTCGGAAAAAGGGTTACATACCTGTTGTGTACCGTTAAATTTGTCGTAAGTAAGGTAGTCGTTGCCGACGATGCTGAAGAGTGCGACAGAAGAGTTGAGATCGGCCGACGAATAATCTTTTTTTCCAAAGGAGTTGTTCAAAGAAATCGATCTGCCTACTCGCGTTTGGGACTTGAAACATTGTCTCAAACACTCCGGCTCCACCGTATGCAAAATTGATTCCTTTTTTTACAACTTGTCTAAGTCGTGCGTATCTCCTCAATTTGTATGGAACTGGCGTTCTAAGTCCAAGATATTTCGCTACATGATATAATACCAGTCAAACTAAATAATTATTTGGTTTTGGATTCGATACGTAATGCATAATAACAGGGGGTTTTTTATATATAACAAGCACAATTATTATTTTCCATTCAATGCATCAATGTAAAAGTTTTCCCAAATAGTTACTGATCTTGTAATCGATTTGCATTAAACTAGAGATATCTTGCATTTTGTGAGAGTATAAACGTAAAATTAACTATGTGGTAGATTCTTTTAAAAAAATACTACGAATTCTTAATTTATATGAAGTATATGCAATATATCAATATATAAACTTAGTAAAATTTTGTTAGTTTGTAAAATGATGGTACCTGTTGTAATTAACATTTTTATATTCGTAATTTTTAAAGAATTATTTAGTCAAAAACATTTTCAATTGATTGCTGAGTTAGAAAAAAATTACAGAAAACTTTGAAAAAATTAAGTCAAATAAAAACATCACTATGTAATGCTATAATTGAATGGCTTCAACGTAAGATCTATAGAGTTGCCGTTTTAAAATCATCAAAAAATGTACTTAGTATAATTTGGTATGTCATTTTTGTTGGCAAAGATATTTTCATACCGAGATAATCGGTGGAGACACGACCATCACTGAACCGACCGGCAGGCTTTCCCGGAAAAGTGATTCCGTAGGGAAACCTCCACGAGGCGCTTATTGTGACCGGTGTGTTTCCGGTGTCTGCGTAAGAGTCTCCGAACACAAATAACGTTTTCGGTTTGAAACCAAACATGCCATCTTCTTGTGGCTGCTCATTCGATGGAAAATTCGACCCTCTTACCCCTTTGTAATCTAGATCGATTCAAAATTTATCAAACGAATGAAACTAATGTTATTTTCGATATACATACTGATGTAAAATGATATACGATGCACAGAGACGAGCAGAAGAAAATAAAAGGTAATTTACCTAATAGAAGAATCAGATACAAGAAAAGGAACCACTTATGCATACACATAATGCTTT